TGTGTGTGTGTGTGTGTGTGTGTGTGTGTAGGGAGGGGGGGGGGGGCTCTTTATTATGTTTCTGTTTTGTTTCATATTGAATACGTATTTCAATAAGGCTATGTATTAGATTTCATTCCACGTTCCTCTTCTAACCCTCGATCTGTGGGACAAAGACAGACATGGTAATTATGATCCCTGTTTTCGCCCACACTGAACTCCGATGAGGTGTCTAGATAGACCCACATCTTTAAAGAAGTAAACTAATGGGAAATTTAGGCTTCCAAAAACCTTTTTTACATAGAGGTTAAAAGGTATAGGTAAACTCAGCACACCAGCATCTCCCTTGACAGAATATTTCTTCTCCTCCTCCTCCTCCTCCTCCTCCTCCTCCTCCTCCTCCTCCTCCTCCTCAGAAGAAGAAGAAGAAGAAGAAGAAGAAGAAGAAGAAGAAGAAGAAGAAGAAGAAGAAGAAGAAGAAGAAGAAGAAGAAGAAGAAGAAGAAGAAGAAGAAGAAGAAGAAGAAGAAGAAGAAGAAGAAGAAGAAGAAGAAGAAAAAGAAGAAGAAGAAGAAGAAGAAGAAGAAGAAGAAGAAGAAGAAGAAGAAGAAGAAGAAGAAGAAAAAGAAGAAGAAGAAGAAAGATGAGGAGGAGACAAAATGTATACTATCATATAGGCATAAGAGGGAGAACGAGATGATTCCTCTTTGTGTATCCTCCTACAAGGATTGTTCCTTCCAATCACCAACATTGCAGAACACAATACTGTCGTAGCCAAGCCAGCCCTTGTTAACATGACAGTATTTCTTTACGATGTCTGTGATTGAGACAAAATTAAAAGAGGTCTCGGTCGTAAACCTTTAACTCATTGAAAACGTTCCTTCTGGTCTTTCGACAAGGCTAAAAGACGCGTTGTACATTATCATTTCGTGTTGGGACACATTACAAATAAAAGCTCCTTTATTTTTATATACTTTTCAGTTCTGTTTCCCGTAAAAAAAACTTTAAAAAAAGATTTGATGCTAAATGTATTCTGTGAAATATGGAAATTCATGTTTCTGATTTGTTTATGATAATTAGAAAAGCGCCTCAACATTGTCTTTGAATTTTTCTGGTCGGATATAATGTATTATAACCGCTAGATCCCTGTAGAGTTAACTGCCAGGATCATTATCGTTACCCTTGGCCTTAGCAAGGAAAGGAAGAGCTATCCTTAGTAAAGAACTCAGAGCGTTCTAGACCTCTTGTCTTACTATTCCAACGTCAAACTCCTGGTGTGTAGTTTTCTTCCATTTCGTCACGCCTCTTGTTTTTTAATCTGTACTCGAAACAAGAAGTTAATTTTGTACGTCTGTCTGACAACACGATATTGCTTTTGCTGATAAACCTGTTGTTTGTGCTACTCCTGCTGCTGCTGTTGTTGTTGTTGTGTTGTTGTTGTTGTTTTTGTTGTTGTTGTTGTTGTTGTTGTTGTTGTCTTTGTCGTTATTGTTGTTGTTGCTGCTGTTGTTGTCGTTGATGATGATGATTGATGATGATGATGATGATGATGATGATGATGATGATGATGATGATGATGATGATGATGATGATGATGATACTGCTGCTGCTGCTGCTGCTGCTGCTGCTGCTGCTGCTGCTGCTTCTACTGCTGTCATTGCTGGTGCTGTTGCTGCAGCCTGCTAAAGACGGAAGTGTCCCCGACTCCGCCTATGGCACATTAACTCAGGGGGTGGGGGAGATGAGGGGTGGGATCACGGTGTAATGACGCTATCGATCTCTACTAAGAGCGAGGGGACTCTGTGAGCATGACAGCGGGCAGGAGGAAGCGCTCACGTAGAGAGGGGGGAGACAGATCGCACGCAGTCGGGACAAATTGTTGTTGTGGGTGAGTTTAACAACGGTGGAGGATGAGGGAAATGATGGGATTTGGTTTGTGTGAGATGATTGGTGTGGAGAGACGTATGTTGTCGGTTATTATACTCGGACCTTAGCGTTTGTACGCTAAGACTCGGACCCTTCTCTTTATGATGTTATAATATACGTACAGATTTCCTATTCTTTCTGGTTTTGTTTTTTGCTGCCTTTCTTTCTCTTTATCTGATTTTTTTTTGTTTCTTATTCTTTTGTTTCTTTGTTTCTTTGTTTCTTTGTTTCTTTGTTTCTTTGTTTCTTTGTTTCTTTGTTTCTTTGTTTCTTTGTTTCTTTGTTTCTTTCTTTGTTTGTTTGTTTCTTTCTTTCTTTCTTTCTTCTCTCTCTCCCTCTCTCTCCCTCTCTCTGTTACTCTCTATCTCTCTCTGTTACTCCCTCTCTCTCTCTTTCTCTCTCTCTTTATCTCTGTTACTCTCTCTCTCTCTGTTACTCTCTCTCTCTCTCTGTTACTCTCTCTCTCTCTCTGTTACTCTCTCTCTCTCTTTATCTCTGTTACTCTCTCTCTCTCTGTTACTCTCTCTCTCTGTTACTCTCTCTCTCCCTCTCTCTTTATAAATATCTCTTTAGCACCCCCCTCCTCTCTTTCGCTCTCTTTCTCCAACTCTTCCTCTTAGTATTTCTCTGTCTCTCTGCTTCTCTCTCTCTTTTTCTCTCGCTCTCTCGCTCTCTTTCTCTCCATGTTCTCTCTGTCTTTCCTTACTAATAATACAGGTAGTTCGGGGGAAAACCCAATATTTTAGTTTGACGCTTTGATCCAAAGCACGTCGGTAATGGGAGTCCCGTTCGCTCGTATGTATGCACCAAACACGTACACACACATACATGTGCACACACACAAACTCACACACACACACACACACACACA